TAATGTCGTGCCGAATAGGCAGAACTTGCCATTTTGGGCTTAAATAGCAACGCTCATCTTGCCATATAGGACAAGGGAAAATTTGTGTATGCAATAATTTCGCCAAAATCATTCTGAACCTAACGAAAAAAATATATTTCACTGTGTTTATTTAGTATTAAATTATTGTAAACAAATCTAAAATATATTTCGTTGGGTTAGGCTAAAATAATTGTTTTTGTTATAATAAGGTTAGGTAAGTTTTCTAAGTTCCTTTTGGTGCAAAATTATAAATTTTTACATCAACATTAATGAAAAAAATATATCTTTAAACGTATAAGAGAAAATTTTAGAGAAGACTTAATTTTAAATGAGTTCTTGCTAATTGACCAGTTTTACATATTCGGCACGACATATATATATAATATATATATATATATATATATATTATATATATATATATTTTATATATATATATTATTATAATATATATATATATATGTGTGTGTGTGTGAAAGACAAGCCACCGGGGGGTGGAAATCTTTAGAGTATGGGGCCTCCACACTACCATTCTCACTACCATACTCTGAAAACTTACCCTACTTCTCCTGTTGCTGCCTTTCCTTAATATTGCACAGCCCCTGATGATGCAATGAGAAGTGTGAAAGTACTGGAGCTTAAGATTTCCACCCCCCGGGGCTTAGCTTGCATTGTTAAGATCGCCCGTCCTGCGATTGTTTTGCATATATATATATTATATTATATATATATATAATATTAATATATAATATATATATATATATATTTATAAAATTATTTATATATATATATGCAATAGATCACAGTAACAGGTGATTTCAAAATATGCAAAACAACCACTCTGAAAGAATAAAGAAATTCCAAGCGCTTTCCGTGAATACTCACATTATCAAGGAACTATAGTTCCTTGATAATGTGAGTATTCACGAAAGCGCTTGGAATTTCTTATTCTTTCAGAGTGTGTTGTTTTGCATATATATATATATATATATATATATATATATATATATATATATATATATATATATATATATATATATATTAGAGAGAGAGAGAGAGAGAGAGAGAGAGAGAGAGAGAGAGAGAGAACATACAGATAATGAGAGGGTCCAAGAGGGATGAAGTAGAATTAAGAACACTGCTATAGTGTGTGGATGTAAAAGGGTGGGTGCAAGTGTGACGAAGAATGACTGGTGGAAGGATGACGCAAATTATTATTATTATCAAGGGGGAAGCGCTAAACCCGTAGAATTAAACAGCGCCTGTGGGGGAAGGGATGTGGAAGGTATTCAGGCTTAATTCAGAGAACTGGAGCACAGATCCAATTCCCCAGATCAAGAGCCCCTTACCAGCGTCAAGGAACCTTCCTTGAGGGGAGGATGACGTCAAGAGGTTGATACGGGAGAAGAATAAACATAAGAATATGATTATATGGAGAGAAAATGTGAGGCAAAACGAGTGGCGAGGGAGCGGCAATAAGAGTAGCAACAAATTTGCTGAAAATTAAAAATAGTTTTGGAGAAACATTAATAAGTTGAGAAACCCTGGGGAGCAAATAGACTCACCAGTTGAAAATGACAGCGTTAAGGTGTTAGATGGGGAGGGGACTTAGGAAAGCCGGAGAGCATATTTTGAGTTGTTAAATGTTGATAAAAGGAATGAAAGCAGCGGGATCCTACCATGAAGAGGGAGGTATAATGTCTGGTAGATGCAGAGAAGAGCCAGAGGGGAATGTGGGTGAAGTGCCCGAGACAATGGGTAGAATGAATGGGGGTAAAGCAGCTGGGAAACATGATATTAAAGGCAGATGTTAACAGCGCGTGGGGATATACTGTAGGATGGAGCAGTTGGTGTGTTTATTCAGGACTGGTAGACAACATGCACTATTCCTCCGTATAATGGAAAATGGGACAGGAGAGAAAGTGTAAGAACCATGTTAGAAATAAGCTTGTGAAGTATTAGTAAAGTGTACAGTACAATAGTTGTTGAAAGAGTTAGGGGTAAGAAAGAAAACAGAATTGCAGAGGAACAAGGATGATTTAGGAAAAACATAAGATGTGTGGACCAAGTGTTTCATTAATAAGTGAACAATACTGAAATAAGGGTAAAGAATTGTTCGTCACTTGAGGGCGTGCGAGAGTGAGCGTGTGATAGTTGAGGAGTCTGTGAGAGTGTGTGATAGGATGAGTGAGGGTGTGATAGATGGTAAGGATGAGTGTGAGAGAGGGGTATTGAGAGAGGGAGAGTGGTTAAAGAGAGAGAGAGGGGGGATACAAGAGAGAGAGAGAGGGTGTTAAGAGAGGGGTAGAGAGAGGGGGGATTGAGAGAGGGAGAGTGGTTAAGAGAGAGAGAGAGAGAGAGAGAGAGAGAGAGAGAGAGAGAGAGAGAGAGAGGGGTGTAAGAGAGGGGTGACAGAGGGGAAGGGTGTGAGAGGGATGAGAGGGGAGGGTGTGAAGAGGGGTGTAAGAGGGGGTGACAGAGGGGAGGGTGTGAGAGGGAGGGAGGGAGGGTGTGAGAGAGGGAGGGTGTGTGAGAGGGGTAGGGGGTGAGTGGAGGCGGGCAGCAGTGGCAGACGGCTGTGGGAGCAGCAGGCAACCCTTGCCAAGTTCCTTGTCTGCATTCAATGACACTATTACGTCCGCAGATGAAGATAGGTTGTTACCTGCGCGTTGAAATCTGGAGGGTGGCTGGGTCTGTGGTGGCTCAACCTGTGGTGGTGCTAGTGGTGGCTCAGCCTGTGGTGGTGCTAGTGGTGGCTCAGCCTGTGGTGGTGCTAGTGGTGGCTCAGCCTGTGGTGGTGCTAGTGGTGGCTCAGCCTGTGGTGGTGCTAGTGGTGGCTCAGCCTGTGGAGGTGCTAATGGTGGCTCAGCCTGTGGTGGTGGTGCTAGTGGTGGCTCAGCCTGTGGTAGTGCTAGTGGTGGTTCAGCCTGTGATGGTGCTAGTGGTGGCTCAGCCTGTGGAAGTGCTAGTGGTGGCTCAGCTTGTGGTGGTGCTAGTGGTGGCTCAGCTTGTGGCGGTGCTAGTGGTAGCTCAGCCTGTCGTGGTGCTAGTGGTGGTTTGGCCTGTGGTGATGCTTGTGGTGGTTTAGCCTGTGGTTTAGCCTATGGTGATGCTTGTGGTGGCTCAATCTGTGGTGGTGCTCGTGGTGTTTTAACCTGTGGTGGCGCTAGTGGTGGTTTAGCCTGTGGTGATGTTTTGTCGTGGCTTAGCCTGTGGTGGTGCTAGTGATGGTTTAGTATGTGGTGCTCCTAGTGATGGTTTAGCCTGTGGTGGTGCTAGTGGTGGTTTAACCTGTGGTGGTGCCGGTGACGGTTTAGTCTGTCGTGGTGCTCGTGGTGGTTTAACCTGCGGTGGTTTAGCCTGTGGTGATGTTTGTAGTGGTTTAGCATGTGGTGGTGCTAGTGATGGTTTAGTCTGTGCTGGTGCTAGTGATGATTTAGCCTGTGGTGGTGCTAGTGGTGGTTTAACCTGTGGTGGTGCCAGTGATGGTTTAGTCTGTGGTGGTTCACCCTGTGCTGGTGCTAGTGGTAGTTTAGCCTGTGGTGATGCTTGTGTGGTGGTTTAACCTGTGGTGGTGCTAGTGGTAGTTTAACCTGTGGTGGTGCTAGTGGTGGTTCAGCCTGTGGTGATGTTTGTGGTGGTTTAGCCTGTGATGCTTGTGGTGTTTTAGTTTGTGATGGTGCTTGTGGTTTAGCCTGTAATGCTGCTTGTGGTGGTGGTGTGGTGGTGCTAGTGGTGGTTTATCTTGTGGTAGTGCTGGTGGTGATTTAGCCTGTGGTGGTGTTTGAGGTGGTGCCTGTGGCGCGGTGGTGTTTGTGGCAAGACAGGGTGATGGTGGTGCTTGTGGCAGGGTGGTGTTTCTGGCATGGCATGGTGATGGTGCTTGTGGCATGGCAAGGTGGTGGTGCTTGTGCCAGGGTGGTGTTCCTGGCATGGCATGGTGATGGTGGTGCTTGTGGAATGGCAAGGTGGTGGTGCTTGTTGAATGGCAAGGTGATGGTGCTTGTGGAATGGCAAGGTGATGGTGCTTGTGGCAGGGTGGTGCCTGTGACAGGATGGTGGTGCTTGTGGCAGGGCGGTGATGCTTGTGGCAGGGTGGTGGTGATTGTGGCAGTTCAGGGTGGTGGTGGTGATTGTGGCATGGCAAGGCAGGACAGGTCAAAGCAGGGTGCAAGCCACCACCTTCCTAGCTGTATGGGCAGGAAGCTTGGCTCCTGTAGCCAATAAAGGTATTGTGTATACCTGGTCGAGCAGGGATGGGTGAGGTCGGACAGGGATGGGTGAGGTCGGGCAGGAATGGGTGAGGTAGGGCAGGTACATCGGGAAACTTACCTCATTTCCGCTACACCTCACACTCATGTCACCGCCAGCAGTGATGTGTGAGAGGTGTTGTGCGGCGAGGCAGAATGTTTGTGTGAAGAGGGAAACTAGAGGTGTGTGTGGGGGAGGTGGCAGCGTGCTTGCAGTGAGCAGTCTTCTTTGTGCGGCTCATCCTAGCCTTTGTTGTGGTCACCACCCCCGTCGGCACCACTCTCCCGCCCACCCACTCCGCACCTCTTCTTCTTCAGGATACGTGCAGTTTACTTAGAGGTTTCTTCTCCTCCCAATGACTGCACGAGCTGTAGTGTGTTGTCACTCTGGTTGTGTTGGTTCTGTGATGTTGTCACTTGCTCGTTTGGCTGGAAGTCGTTGTCTTGTGTTTCTCTCTCCTTCTGTCCAGATTTTGCTCTGCACCTCGCCTTAGTCCTTCGGCGAAGCAGGTTGGGTGGGAAAGGAACTGCGGTGTTTAGGAATCTGTTTATATGAGCAGAGACGTCGTGTGTGAGCGGTAGCGGCGTGTGACGATGCGACGGCCGATCCGCGACCGCCCCTCGTCTGATCTGCCACACTCATAACTCATCATGGATGGTTGAGCCAGCCGCCGGGAGGTGGCAGCACCACCGGTATCCATGCGCGACACTTGGGCCCCCAGGTCACCACTGGAACACCAACCTCTGGTTTTTCTTCGTCTACCACCTTTTATTCTTTTCCGAAGCAGTTTTACGCTACCTGTATGAATCCGGCGCACACTGGGGGGCATCCGGTGAGGCAGGGTGAAGAGAAACAGAGACTACAAGTTAAGATTGAAGCTGGGAACTAGTTGTCCAGGCGGAGGAGGATGGTGGGCGGGCCGCGGCGCCAGCTGAAGAGTAGTATGGTGCCGCCCGCCGCGCTCGTCACGTCGTGAGGATGCGTCTGGGTGCAGGAGGCCGCTCACACTCGCTCCCGCACCTCCATGAGCGCAACTAATTGTGACCGCATATAAAGGGTTGACGTGGAACGAGGAGCTCAGTCAGTCCTCTCTGGTCTGTGGCGGTGAGTGAGCCGGCGGCCCGCCCTGCCTGCAGTGTCTTAGCTGGCTGCTGCTTGCTTGCTGCAACACTCGACCCGGCGGCCACCATGAGCAGTCGCATGCAGTCGGCACGGCCGCCCGCCTCCCTGGTGCACGGTGGTGGTGGCGGTGGCGGTGGTGGCAAGAGCAAGGGCGGGGCCGCGGGCGGCGCGGGTGGACAGAGGCCGCCCTCAGCCACGTCCGGCGTCCACGACCAGCGAGCCAAGACCATCCTGAAGGAGGCAGTGGACGCTGTGGTCAACAGCTTCGCCAAGCACACGCAGGGCTACGGCAGAGGTACGTCACCTCCTTCTGCCGCTCCGTCACACTTTTTAGTGCCACTACCTACCCTCTCTGGCACCTTCACTCACCATGCCAACACAATGTTGCTTCCTGTGGCACCTGTGATGATTGTTGCTTCCAGTGACGCCTGTGATGATTCTTGCTTCCAATGCTGAATGTTGCTTCCAGTGTGGTGATTATTGCTTCCAGTGGTACCTGTGATGATTGTTGCTTCCAGTTGCACCTGTGATGATTGTTGTTTCCATTGGCGCCCGTGATGATTCTTGCTTCCAGTGGCACCTATGATTCTTGCTTCCAGTGGTATCTATGATGATTTGCTTCCAGTGGTAACTGTGATGATTATTGCTTCCAGTAGTACCTGTGATAATTGTTGCTTCCAGTGGTACCTGTAGTGATTGTTGCTTCCAGTGGTACCTGTGGTGATTCTTTCAGTGGTGCCTGTGATGATTCTTCCAATGATACCTGTGACGATTGTTGCTTCCTGTGGTACCTGTGATTGTTGCTTCCAGTGGTACCTGTGATGATTGTTGCTTCCAGTGGCACCTGTGATGATTGTTGCTTCCAGTGGTACCTGTAATGATTGTTGCTTCCAGTGGTACCTGCGATGATTGTTGCTTCCAGTGGTACCTGTAATGATTGTTGTTTCCAGTGCGATGATTATTGCTTTCAATGTTGAATGTTGCTTCCAGCAGCATCGGTGACGATTGTACCTTTTAGTGACCCGTGATTGTTGTTTCCAGTGTTAAAAATTGCTTCCAGTAATGATTCTTCCAGTGGTACCTGTGGTGACTTGCTTTCAGTGGTACCTGTGATTGTTGCTTCCAGTGACTGGTGATTATAGCCTTCAGATACGTAATGATAGTTGCTTCCAGTTGCACTTGTGATTTTCATTGTGACGATTATTCTTTCAGTGACATTTGAGGTAATTGTTGCTTCAGTGATATGTAATGATTGTTTTCACATTAATGATTGTTGCTTCCAGTGGCACCTGTAATGGTTGCTTCCAGTGGCACTTGTGATTGTTGCTTCCAGTAGCACCTGTGATGATTGATGCTTCCAGTGGCACCTGTGATGATTGTTGATTCCATTGGCACGTGTGATGATTGTTGTTTCCATTGGGACCTGTGATGATTGTTGCTTCCAGTGGCACGTGATGATTGGTGATGATTGTTGCTTCCAGTGACACGTGATAATTGTTGCTTCCAGTGGCACCTGTGATGATTGTGCTTCCAGTAGCATCTGTGATGATTGTTGCTTCCAGTAGCATCTGTGATGATTGTTGCTTCCAGTAGCATCTGTGATGATTGTTGCTTCCAGTAGCAACTGTGATGATTGTTGCTTCTAGTGGTACCTGTGATGATTGTTGCTTACATTGGCACCTGTGATGATTGTTGCTTCCAGTGGTACCCGTGATGATTGTTGCTTCAGTGGTACATGTGATGATTGTTGCTTCCATTGGCACCTGTGATGATTGTTGCTTCCAGTAGCATCTGTGATTGTTACTTCCAGTGGTACCTGCAATGATTGTTGCTTTCATTGGCACCTATGATGATTGTAGCTTCCAGTAGTATGTGTTGATTGTTGTTTCCAGTGGTACCTGTGATGATTGTTGCTGCCATTGGCACCTGTGATTATTGTTGCTTCCAGTAGCATGTGATGATTGATGCTTCCAGTGACACCTGTGATGATTGTTGCTTCCACTTGTGCATGCTATGATTATTGCTTCCAGTGGTACCTGTGATGATTGTTACCCAGAGTGGCATCTGTGATGATAATTCCTTTCATGGGCACCTGGGATGATTGTTGCTTCGAATGACACTGGTGTGACTTGCTTTTAATGTTAATTGTTCCTACCCGAATGTTGTTACTACTGGTGTGTTGATTGTTGCTACTGGTGTGTGATTGTTCCTTGAGGTTTCTTGATTGTTGTTACTGTGTTGATTGTTGCTACTGTGACCACTGTTTCTTCCACTGTTGATTGCTGTTACCATTGTGGTGATTGTTGCTGCCAGTGTATTAGTTGTTACTGATATGTTAATTGTTGTAACTAGTGTGATTGTCATTACCATTGTGATTAGTGTTTCTATCAGTGTAATGATTGTGTCTTCCAGTATATAGATTGTTGCTACCAGTGATTTGATTGTTGCTACCACTGTTGATTGTTGTCAGTGTTGCACTGTTGATTGTTATCAGTGTTGCACTGTGTTGATTGTTTATCGGAGTTGCACTGTGTTGATTGTTATCACTGTTGCAGTGTTGATGCTGCCAGTTTTTTTATTGTTGCTTCCATATATTGATTGTTCATGCCAGGGTGTTGATGCTGCAAGTCTGTTGATTATTGTTATTGATGTAATTATTGCACCTGATTGTTGTTACTGATGTGTTGTTAGTGTGATTGTTTCCAATGAGACTGTTTATTCTAACGTGTTACTACATGTGTTGATTCTTGCTACAAGTGTTGATGTTGCTACCACTGTGTTGATTGTTGCTACCAGTGTGTTGAGTGTTGCTACCATTGTGTTGATTGCTGCTACCATTGTGTTGATTGTTGCTACCATTGTGTTGATTGTTGCTACCAATGTGTCGATTGTAATGTTAATTGTTACTTCCAGTGTGTAAATTGTTTCTTTCACTGTTGCTTGTTGGTACCAGTATGTTGATTGTAGTGTGATAATTGTTGCTTCCAGTGTATGAAGTGTTGCTCTCAGTGTGCTGATTGTTGTTTGTATTGATTGTTGCTTCCACTGTGTTGCTTGTTGATTGTAGTGTTGATTCGTGCTTCCACTGTTTTGCTTGTTTGTAGCATGTTGATTGTTGGTACCAGTGTGTTGATTGTTGCAACTAGTGTGTTGATTGTTGCTACCAGTGTATAACAACAATCAACAAACTAGTTGCTCTCAGTTTGTTGCTTGTTGCTACCAGTGTGTTGATTGTTACTGTTTGTTTATTGTCACCAGTGTGTTGATTGTTGCTAGTAGTGCTGATTGTTGCTTCCACTGTTTCGTGTGTGTAGATTGTTGCTTCCACTGTGTTTCTTGTAGTGTTTTGATGCCTGCTTTTACTTTGTTGATTGTTGCTACCAGGGTGCTGACTGCTGCCAGTGTGTTGATTGTTGTTGCCAGCGGCTGGGTTGGTTACAGCCTCCTGAGTCCAACTGTGTGAATATTGAATTCTTGCAACAATTTAAAAAATTCTGTGAACCACGGTACCATGAAACTCTGGACTGTTCTCGTATACCGACAATGCATGCGAGAACGTTGAAATAAAAACACTCTTGTGCATGCTTTCGATAATTATAATATTAATGAATATGTGAGCACACAGTGGTAGGTTTCCTTGGTCTCTTCTGTATGTATATAATAACAAAATAGGGGGGATAGCACCATCTACTTCATTTTCAATGGTAAATTTAATGGTAGTAATTAAATTGTCAAGTCTAAGCAGAATTTTTTTAATGTCTTTACCGCATGTCCAGAGACGTATTGCATCATCAACAGATCTCATCCATTTGGCCTTATATTTAAAAAAAATCAAAGCCTAATCAAATCAGTGACTATTTAATATTTAGAGGATTGAATTTTGGTAGTTCATCACCTAACGACAGCACCAGGCCCTCCACAGGGACTCTAGAGCACCTGAAGGATTCTTCCCGTGGTCCGGTCCTAGACGAGGCCGCCTAGTGGATCATAGCCTGATCAATGAGGGTGTTACTGCTGGCCGCACGCACTCCAGTGCACGAACCACAGCCCTGAAATAACAAAGCAGACTAGAGTAAAAGCAGTCATGGAGCTGTGAAGATAAGATTTCCTTTGACCCTGTTGAACCCTGCACTTATATTTTGCATGAGGCGCTCAATGTTTTGGCGTTGAGTGCAGGGCTCGATAGAGCCACAAGAAATCTTATCTTCACAGTTCCATGACTGATTTTACTCTAGTCAGCTCATTTATCACGGCTACAGTTTTGTGTGTGTGTGTGTGTGTGTGTGTGTGTGTGTGTGTGTGTGTGTGTGTGTGTGTGGTGTGTGTGTGTGTGTGTGTGTGTGTGTGTGTGTGTGTAGCGCAGAGGCTTGGTCTCACCATCACAAGTCAGAGATGTATTGTAAGAAGTCAGTGTTGAGTCATGTTTCCCCGCGGTAACTGCTGTTCCTGGCAATGCATTTATTGTATTACACGTGTCTGGGAGGTGTGTTGGTGAGCTGCCCGTCTCCTGCCGGTCCTCCCCGGCACAGTCTCCGTAAATTACATCCACCACTCAGCGTAGCCACCGTCTTAAGTCATAGATGACGCCGTCGCCGCAGCCGTCGCCACCGCCTTCGCCTCCTCCACCGCCGCCGCCTCTGCAAGTCACAGCCGAACTGTCCTCTTCTCTCTTGTATCTAACCTAATAACTTCCGATTCCCGAGACATTCTATGAACCCTCACAGGATAATGCTTCCAATTATTATTATTATTATTATTATTATTATTATTATTATTATTATTATTATTATTATTATTCTCAATCCTTGCAACCTCAGAAGTACAAATTTGTTACTCTAGGTCAGGTTAGCATAGATTAACCTTTATTTACATACAGTTAAATAAATGACAGTAACAAAGTGACATAAACGAGTGATTTACATCTGGCAGCTTCGGTATCTCCCACGTTGAACCTTAGTGTTGGTATCTCCCACGTTGAACCTTAGTGTTGGTATCTCCCACGTTGAACCTTAGTGTTGGTATCTCCCACGTAGTACCTTAGTGTTGGTATCCCACACGTAGTACCTTAGTGTTGGTATCTCCCACGTAGTACCTTAGTGTTGGTATCCCACACGTAGTACCTTAGTGCTGGTATCTCCCACGTTGTACCTTAGTGTTGGACCACAGTAACCTTATGCTGGTATCTCCCACGTTGTACCTTAGTGTTGATATCTCCCACGTAGTACCTTAGTGTTGATATCTCCCACGTAGTACCTTAGTGTTGGTATCCCCACGTTGTACTTTTTTGTTGATATCCCCCACGTAGTACCTTAGTGTTGATATCCCCCACTTAGTACTTTAGTGTTGATATCCCCACTTAGTACTTTAGTGTTGATATCCCCCACTTAGTACTTTAGTGTTGATATCCCCCACTTAGTACCTTAGTGTTGATATCCCCCACGTAGTACCTTAGTGTTGGTATCCCCCACTTA